CAAAACCTCATAGAAGCAAATATATAAGTATAAAAAATATTTCGATACGAAACGATAAAAGCAAATAAAAAACGCACACAAATACACAAATATATAGGAAGAAAAAAAAACATCGACAAGCTTCAACAGTGAAGAACATTATAACACGATCAAATTTGTTTACTGCATGAAAGAAAAACAAATATATAAAAATGTTTTAAATTAAGAAAATCAAAGGATTTTTCAATTAATTAATCAACTATTATTATTAAAATTCAGTTGTAAGCTAAATTCGAATATTAACCAATAGTGCATACTCAATCATCTACATTCATTTGAAGTAAATGATAGAAAATGTCGTATCATACGTATCTTTAAATCACTGTTTTGCTTATTCATTTTTTAAAGAAACTAATTACTATGATTACAGATGTTTACACTTGAACATTAACCATAGTATGAGTTATTTAATTCAGTTAATACAATATATTAGAAGACTAAAAACTGAAGATGTTAGTGATCTTAAGTTTTTTTAAAAGCTAACTTCAACGAGTAATTATTCAATGTAGTTACATTAGAGTAAAAATGTGAGACATGATAAAAACTATTTTTACTTAAAACAAATAGATCTTAATGATAACGTCGTTTGTGCATTTGATATAAACTCAGTCTAGTTAAAGTGACAAACTAATTTTTGTGAAACACAATCTAAACGACGTGTTGAAGGATACAGTGAGAAGAGTAAATCACCAAGCCTTCCACTTCATAAACTACTCTGAAAGCTTTTTTATTAAAAATTGATTAGGCCTTGTATCAGACACGATAAGCATTGTTTACTACTTTTTTTATTTTGAAATTTCATTTTTTTTTTCTCAATTATTCAAAAGCGATAAACAATCAATATAAAAGTAGGTCATTTATAATCAAAGATAATACGATGAAGATTATTTGGCCAATCAGGTGTATATCCAATAGCATTATAAATCAATTCTTTTCGTTGTTGAGTTTTGTCCGATAATTCACTTCTTTCTTTCATTTGTGTTAATCCAACAACTAATTCAGTTGCATTAGTAGCTGTATAACACAAATTGAATTTAACTAAAACATCATGGTAAGTTTCATGTCCTACTTGCATTGTTGGTAATCCGAGAAGAACGAATTGTGGTGCCATACTTGTTTGATAATATAAAGCAGCATCAGCAACTATTTGTGCTTGATCACTTGTTCTTAATGTTGATATAATACCTTGAATATGATTATTTTTTGATAGACATTCTTGAAATAAAAGACCATCTCGATTCTGTTTTTTTGCAGCAGGATGTTGATGAAGTAAGAATAAAACATCTTGAACTATATTCTTATCTATATGTGAAAGATTTGATAGAAAAGTCGGAAATGCTTGATCAAAATAAGTATCATTATTTCCACCGAAATATACAAATAGATGTTGAATATTGGTCCAACCATAATGTGCTCGTAAAGAATCTTTTTCAATTTCACGCTGTTGTAATAATTTTTCAACTTCTATAACTGGATAATAACCAATACCTTCAACAATCTTATTTGTTAAATCGATACGTTTTTCAGGTAATGAATATATAATCGAATTACTTTTGGCTAAATTTATATTCGCGAATAGAATGTATTGTGATGATTTGATTGTTTCTTCTGTTTTAATTGAGTAACCACCGGGTACATATGGTTCTGGATTATCATAATAACACCAGAAATGAATTATATCATTAGGAATATTTCGTTTCGATGAAACCGCTTGAAATATTCTATCAAATTTATTACCAATGTCAACAATAATAGTACGTGTACCTTGTTTCAAACAATTATCAATCAATTGTGTAGCTACTTGTTCTTGTTGTTCATGATCGAAATTTTCAATTGAAAATGAAAGAAGTTGAATATCATTAGGCAGATGTGAATCTTTTAGTTTAGTTAGAGCCGGTCCAGTTGCATATATGATGATTTGTAATTCATTTTGATGGAAAAGATTCGTAGCAAAAGCCGCGAAATGAGCAGCTGGTCCACCATCACATACAATAAAGCAGACGAGTGATGTTGATGGTACGTTGTTACTCATTATTGAAATAACAGTCAAATAGACAAAAAAGCCATATATTATATAAAGAGATTATATAAGTAGTTATGAAAGAAAAGTGTTATTTGTAGTCGGACATAATATTGTTATCTTTTTAACGATCATATTATTTGTTCACAGAACGAATAAATTTTGTTACTTTATACCTTAGTATAATGCTGTTTATTTGCTTTGAAAGATTCTTACACATTTGATATCTTGATATATAACAGAAATATTTTTATGTATGTCTAATATCAAAGGAAAATATCATAAGTCTATTTTACAAATTATAAAATTCTTTAACTCTCTTTGATTAGGGAGTTTTTGTTTGAAAAATAACAAAAAATCTAATGATACAAAAATGTTGGGAAAAATCAACATGACGTATGTAAAGGATGTGGATGTGGATAAAAAGAAAAGAAAAGAAACGCTCACATCCTGTACTATTCAGAGAGACATTCTGATTAAATAAATGTTCTTTGCTGGGTGAATCATCATTTATTCTATTAAAAACAAACTGAACTTGACAGTGAATTCAATAATATTTATCCCATAATGATTTTTTGTTGCATGTGGATTTAAAATATTCATTAATTTTTTTTTCTTAACCCACTGTCAATTCTTCCTAATGAACCAGCAAGTTTGAGCTATTGAAGTATCGGTATAATTATTTTTCATGGGATGTTCACTGTTATCTATTTTCAGTTTCGATTTAATAATTATCGATAACTATAAACTATATTGAGCTGTAGACATTATCGATTTCGTTATGAATTAAAATATGTTTATTCACACGAGATACATTTCATTTTTTTTTTCTTTTAAAAACGAATGCTATAAGAAGCTGCTAGTGTTTGTTCATGTCTGACAAATATCAATGATCTGTGCATGACAGCCATGTCTTTCTATTGTTTTCTCTTTCAATTTACAAACATTATTCTATGGATGAGAATTCTTGATCATATTTTATACGTATTTTTTGATCAAATTTAATTCTTGAATAGAATTGTTGTAAAACGCATTGCCAATTTATAACAATTATAAGTGTTTTCTGAAAATACAACAGACATTTACAGACGTCACGGACATAATAATTTTTTGTGTGTCTTTCACAGCATGAAAACTTAGTAGAACATTCATTAAATTTTTATTGTATAAAGTTAAATGCATTTGCATTTTAGTTATTGAGAATGGTATTCAAATTTAATACATGAAGTACATGTTGCAATATTCTAATATGGACGAATATAAACGTCTTTAATATGTATACGAATCCCTAAAATAAATTACTTTCATGCAATATTTATTTAACTCTCTACTCATGATGGGACTTAAATGAACATATGATTTTGAAAACAAATTACACATAAGATAAAGAAAAACAAGCAGAAGCGGAGTAGAGAGAATAGACCAAAATGATATGCATGCCTTCTGCAGCCATTCAACGAAACATTGAAACACGACCTTCAAACTTTGCACATACATTCCATAGATACGACGGACAAATTGTTTGAGTTACTGTGTATGACGTTATGATAAGACGTATTGCTTGTACAGGGAGGAGGAAGAGACCCCCGCATGCTCTGGTTCCGAATCGGAGACATACCTCATTCAACCAGGGCTCCTCAACCCTACAATAAATTTTAACTTATTACTGATCAACATGTAATTTTCGTCTTAGCTACACTCAAATCATTTTNTTTGAGCTAATATTTTGAGGGTAGGTAGATGAAGACTAGACTAGAAAAACCTCCAAAAGATTTGCATTTTCCATGCATCAATAGTGAACTACGCCATCCTGAAGAAAAATGAAAAATATGCATGTATTATGAAAAATGTGTTTTTATTCTGATTATGTAAAAATCATTTTACTTATGAATGGCGTAGTTCAGTATTGATGCATGGAAAATGCAAATCTTTTGGAGGTTTTTCTAGTCTAGTCTTCATCTACCTACCCTCAAAATATTAGCTCAAAGCATTGGAGTTACCGAAGTGATCTACTCTTATCATGGTTGTACCGAGACAGCAGCTTGGATCTTCTGGATATCAAGTACTACTTAGGAATATTTTTCGGCCAAATCTATTTTCTATCGATGATCAATATAACTAGAAGAAAAAACTTGAAAAAAAAAACTTTTTCCAAAATAGTGGTTGGTTTCCCATGGATTCACCCTTATTTTTAATGACTTCATCGAAAATATTCTTTTTCTCCTTTAAAGTTCGTGTCAAACTGCCATCTAATATGGGATAAATATCAATAAATGTGATAAAAAAGAGAAAGATCATTACATTTATTGCTGGCTATCGTTTGTGTCCATTGACAATATTACATTTATAACTTGTATGGATGCTTAAAAACGATCGATTGGGCTACTCACTTACTGTTTCGGAATAGTACACGAAAATGTTTTCATAAATGCCAATGCATTCGATGAATTCATAATTTCGCTCATAGTTAAACCATTTCACCATCCCATGAACTTTTCTGTTGACATTCACTTTTGTCAAATTCACGTGACAATGTACACCATTTTTGTACGTATTGAGCCTTCAATTATAACTAATTCCTCACGACTAGATACGAGTATCATCTGAGATTTTTAGTCATTAACGATTTTCGTGTAAGGTTTCATTCAACTTTCTATCAGTATTATGATATCTGTCATTATTATTTATTCTACGTAGTTTCTTTATCTCCAACGTCTGCTGAAAATTAAATCAAATAGTCTAACATGAACATGAACACTACGTTTACATCATTTTTGGTGTATCATGTAGAATATAATCAGATTTTTTTATATAAATTTCACTAATTCTACAATGAATATTACCTAGCATGAAATCATTCTTGTTTTCGCATGAATGAACAGTCATGTGATTCGAACAGGACAAAAACCATTAGTGAACCGTTTGATATAACATGCACTATACCGGCTATCAATCGATGATAGTTTGATATTTAAACAATTGGCTATCCACTGACCATCATTCTACCGCGATATACTGGTAGCTATTCTCTGGCTGACAGTCTAGTGTCACTATTCCAGTGATACTGCGAACAAACGTGCGACACAGATAATTAAATCAACATAATCTTTCTTAGGATCAACTATATAGGAACTAGAATGAATACGAATATCTTTGAGTTCAATTAGCTGTTTCTTCTAAATTAACCAGTCCATTCCCGACTTTTATCGCAAACTGTAACTTCAGCACCTGTCACTTGCGTATTACACGTACTAGAAGAAGTAAACAAGGATGTAATCTATTAACATAAAAACAAAGAAAAAAACATCGTAGATATAGTATCTGCACATATTTATTCAAATGAGCCATTCTGTAGCGATGCACATATTATAGAAAACAGAACAAAATGTGTATGAACTCATTTAGAATTAACTACAAGGATTCTGGATGTGTGTGTTCCTTATCTTAAGACACAAATCCACATACCTCAGTTTCATTCACACCCATTGATGACCACACATCCTAATGTGCTAAATTTGTTGTAGAGACCCAATGATTTTGATTAATGCATATGTTGATATAATTAAAGTCCTCAGACGTTAATCGACATTGTCGACAAGAATTGGATTATGACAATATATTTGACTATTGTAATCAAGTGAATATTTACTCTCCTTTTTAAACTGCACACAATTTGTCTATTTAAAAGTTGATATGATTTCATTAATTGATGATTTTCGAAAGTTTTTTTTTCCTGATACAATAAATAGAATATGAATGAGAATATTTTCATACTCGATCAACAAATAAAATGAATAAATATTATTCCAATATCTATATTTATTACTGGTATTATTTCTTTGTTGACTCGATTGATGGACTTTGATTCTTTGTTAAATAGAGTCCATCAAGAAACTCTGACAGGAAACTACCCTTTTTCCTATACAAAAGTACTCAATAAACAATAGACATTATATGAATTGCTGCATCCAGACGAATAAGTCCTGCTTATTTTTGGCAATCAGTTATTTTTCCTTATTCTTTTGCTTCTTTATATTCCCTTATTTTTGGAGTTTAGAATCTTACTGACTCAATTTATTCCGATTTCGAACAGTCGCACTCTTTTGTGTAGAACTCAAATCAAGCGAAAGTCTCAGTAGATTACATGATTAAAACTATGTACGTTTCATGATGCTTTTTTGTTGACTGTTGATGAAGCTTTACTTCAACAAAAAAAAAATGTTGCCATCGGCTGATTCGTATTTTTTTTCTCAAAGTGACATGTGTTTTTTGACCAGAGTTGTTTGACGACTTCAGATTGATGAAAATGCAATAGTCACAGAGAAGAGAATGGATGAGTCATATGTCATAGTTTGCAGAAAGAAAAGCATGATCAACGAAAGAAATAAAAAAAAAACGAATAAGTAGTGTTTTTGATGAATGCAACGTTACGAATGCTTTTTTCTTTCTTCTAATGCAAAAATTGTGTTGAAACATTATTGACTTCGTCAGCCTCATATTGAAAGTGAAACAGCCACTGATTGGAAGCTATTTGAGAAAAATAATCATGACCAATCAACCAGGAAATCCGAATATGAAAATGTTAATTCCAATGATTAATGAATTACAACGTATTTTTACAATAGTTAATACTCGATTGACATTAACATTACCTCAAATAGCGGTCGTTGGTTCGCAATCAGCAGGCAAGAGTTCTGTACTTGAAAATATTGTCGGTAGAGATTTTTTGCCTCGTGGTGGAAGTATGGTGACGAAGCGACCTCTAGTTCTACAATTGGTTACATCTCAAGGGGCAGAATATGGTGTCTTCGGACATAAACCACAGCAGAAATTTACGAACTATACTGATATTCGTATAGAAATCGAAAATGACACCAAAGCAGTAGTACGCAATGACATGGGTGTCTCGAATATACCGATCAATCTGACGATTTATTCGCCTCATGTTGTCAATCTTACTCTAGTCGATCTGCCCGGTATGGTTAAAGTACCTTCACAAGGTCAACCCCTCGATATTAGTAAAAAGATCGATGATATTATCCTCGAATATATTAGCAATGAGAATTGTCTCATTCTGGCTGTGACACCGGCTAATATCGATATCGTCACTTCCGATGCATTGGTTATGGCTCGTAGTAAAGATCCAATGGGTAAACGCACAATTGGTGTATTGACAAAATTGGATATGATGGGCCGAGGACATAATGCACGTGACGTATTTTTGAATAAAGTTGTCGTTCTTGAAAGAGGCTTTATCGGTGTTGTCCTTCGTGGTCAACGTGTCGATGAATATGGTCGAGTTATGAGAGAATTAGATATACCGGCTGCACTCGAATTCGAACGACAATTTTTTCTTAATGATCCAGCCTATCATGATATGGCAGATCGAATGGGTGTACCCTATTTACAACATACACTCAGTATTCAACTCACTGAACACATTCTCAAGTGTTTGCCTGATTTAAAACGAGAACTACAAGCACGTCATCGCGATTTAGCTGTAGAAGTATCCGAATTTCGTACATCGGCTATGCTTGAAGGTTCTGGTTTTGACACAAAAGCTTTAGTGGTATTAACACATGAATTACAAGAAGATTTTGATGCCGCACTGAAAGGAACTAATTTGAAAGACTCTGACTTGAAGACTCTAACAGGTGGGGCTCGTATTGCTACCATCTTTAAATATCGTTTTCCGTCAGAATTGGCTAAAGCCGATCTTCAAGACAAAGATATGCGTAATCAATTAGTTTTAGCCATAAAAAATATTCGTGGTTTTCGAGCTGGTATATTTACACCAGATGAAGCATTCGAATACATTGTTCAAATGCAAATAGCCAAATTTGAAGAACCCATACTGACATGTGTCGATATGGTTATCTGCGAATTGAAAAAAATTATTAATGAAGTAACAAATAAACTGAAGCGTTACCCATTCTTGCAACGGGTCACCGAAGAATTACTGACGCAATATTTAAAAGAACGTGAAGTTGTCACAAAGCAAGCCTGTACACTTTATGTCCATACACAATTATCCTACATCAATACGACTAATGAAGAATTTATCGGATTTACTAACGCCGAAAAATCGGCCAATACAAATGACATGAATCGACATATTACTAATCAGATCATTCGTAAAGGATTTCTTCGTATGCATACCAATGCAAAATTATTCCAAGCAAAAGAATATTTCTTCGTCTTATCGACCGATAGTCTATCTTGGTATAGTGATTCTGATGAGAGAGATAAAAAATATATGTTACAATTAGATGACCTCAAACTGCGTGCTACTGAAGGTGGTTTTATGGCTAAACGAGCACAATTTGGTTTGTACTATACGGAAGGAAAGAACGTCTATAAAGAACACAGAATGCTCGAACTCTCTGCTGAAAATAAAGAAGACATGGAGAATTGGAAAGAAGCGTTTTCCCGTGCCGGTGTCTTTTCTGAACGTGGGCAACGTGCCGAGACTACTACTTCATCGACAGATGGCGTTCCCGGCGATCCACACATGGAGCGTCAAGTAGAAACTATCAATATTTTGGTAGCATCTTACATGAAAATTGTGGCAAAAATGACACGCGATTTCATTCCGAAAACGATCGTCTGCAGCATTGTACAAGAACTACGAAAATATATTTCAAGAGAATTGTTAGTCAATCTCTATGCTGTACCGAATGCGAAATCACTCTTGCAAGAATCAGCTGAAGAACGACAACGTCGTGAATCGAAAATTGCCGAATTTGAGGCAGTCAAAAATGCACTAAATATTATAGAGAATTTTTATATCAACGCACGTAAGTTATCTACAGGTATGATGATAACACCAGCGGCTACCACTACATCCTCGAATATCACCATGAGCAATCATTTTGGACAATCATCAAATTCATCCACGAATTTAGTCGACAATTCCTTTGGCTCTAACACTAATCGTATATCCGGCCATCATGTTCAAACAAATCAACAAACATGGAACACTTTTGGAACCCATGGACAGGCACCACCAGTTGTTCCACCTAATCCGTTGGGTCGTTCCTATGCGAATGGGTCAACGACCCCACCAGTACCCATACTACCTCAGCGTCCACTACCACGTGTTCCGCCGCGATAATTTGATGGACCACCAGTCTCGTATCCAGATTAACTCAAGCATTGAGAAAAACAAAAACTATGACACGTACATATCGCTGTTATTTTCTTAATTTCATTATTGCGCACACTTTTTCTTTTTACTCCTACATCATTATTTTCATCGAAACAATGCTTTGTTCACTTTTATGTAAAGCACTAATTTTGTTCGAGAAGAAAAAGATTCTTAGTTTTCAAAAATTTCATATAAGAAAAATGATTTGAGGATAACAGTTATTCGTGTTTAGGTGACACATCCCATAGGAGACAAGAACCAGCTTAACGAAGCAATGCATCAAAAACAGAAAAAAATTAGATGTAAGGCACTTTGCAATCACCATCTTCGTCTTTTTGAAGAAAACGCTTTGTCGATTTTTCATTGATAGACACTGGAAAATGACAACGCCTAAAATGTTCATAAAAACAAAGTTTTAATAGATGAATGAAAAATAACGAACAATTTATTGATCAATTTTCAAAACGTTGAAAAGAAATTAGTCGAATGTCGGTGACTTGTAATGTTTAAACTTCTAGTTGTTGATACACAGACAAGCGTTAGTTTCATATTAGAAATTATGTTGAATACTCATATGTACGGCAATGGAAACCAGTATCGAACTGGCCAGTTTTCACAGTACTGAATTTAGTACATCTTTACTTGTTTTTGTTAATTTTCATCGGTTGAATGTTAGAGAAGAAAAAATTTGAAACGTCTAGTAAATGAAAATTTAGATGGTATCAAAATTCCAACTCTGAAAACTTATCTCACACTTGACACTTTAGAATGGATGATGTCGCATCATACTGAATGCACTGATAAAGCTTAAGAAACGTTATTCACGAATTCAAAGCCTAAACTCTGTTTAAACTAGAAAATTTTCATCACAAAAAACATCATGCTGTCTTCTAGAGTGCTTACCACTGATTGTCAGTAACTCTTCATGGCCAACAGCTCATAGATCACGTACTAATTGCATAAACAACAACAAAAAATCGTTTTAACGCGAAACGTTCACCGCCTGTCAGTCTCGTGCAATTTTAAAAAGAAACTTAGATCTTAAATATCTTAAGAATTATACGAGTTTTACTCAATCTCTTTCGAGAGTTGCATTAAGATATACTTTCTCAAAATGAAGTAGTTTGGTAGTTAATATATGAAAGGAGCTGACTTTCCACCAGTTTATTTTTGCCGATTGAACCAAGGATTTCCACCAGCTGGTACGGTTCGAGGTTCGGAAGATTTCGGCTCATTGTCTTATTCAAAATTCTCTCTTTAACTCTTATGCCATTCATATGCATCAGATAGAAGTAATTATAATAGCTGTAGTTACAAAAACACAAATTTCAACAAATATTAATGCGAAAATGTAGGAAAAAGGCGTTCTCAGTTATTACGGGAGGCTACTTTAGAGATTGAAAGAAGTACCATTAAATTGAATGTTATACTTGATGAAACCTTGTGATTTCTATCGATTGAGTATTGACAGCTCTTATACAATTTTTCAGACCACCAATATACAAGAAAAAGAAACTGATGAAGAATTATTCTTCACTAATCGGAGTTCCTGATTTGCACTTTCTTTTTTTTTTTGTTCATTTACACTATCTTTCATGTAGCTGAAAGGTTGTGATTCCGTAATATGTGAAATCTAGTGTTTCTATGTATGCATGACTTCGTAGAATTTTGTTTACATAAGACTTTTAATTTTCATAATATGTTCTTCCTATGATTTGATGATACTAAGGCTCTTAAAAACCTCAATGAATGCAAAAAATAGTGCAAGCTGAAAAATCTTGAATGTATGTTGAGATGAGGATGTTTAGATTGTATAAATAACAATCATAAAAAGTTAGTATACTGTAGTTCGAAATTCGCTTGACGAGAACTTTTTCAAATGCTTTCTATTAAAAAAGATACAAAAAATAACATCTGTCTTACTATGTTCATGAAAGATATTAAAATTTCCAATCAATCGAACATAATAGTACATTAAGAAAAGTTGAATATAAATAAACTTCGATAAGATTTCAATGGACTACATAAGGTAATAATGAAATGTTATTAAGATATGAAACAGTATTAAAAAGAAATTCTTTTGAAAATATAAAACGTACAGTGTCTTAGACTATTGATTAAACTGCGTTTATTAGATCAAACATAGTTCGAAGCCGGGATAGAATGAAAACTTGACAAACTCTTATTTATACGCTTTTTAGTCATGAACAGTGAACAATGGAATATTTTCCATTGTACATATTTATTTGTAAAAAGTTTGTTCAAAGTATAATCAACATTGTTTTATATTTTCGTCGCCGTTACAAAAGAAAGTTGAATTCATTTTTAGATCGTTACTGTTTTGGAAATAAAAGCAATACATGATGCAACGTGGTTAGTTTGATAAGCTATGGTTGATATTGGTGATGCTATGAATATTTTGTCGAGTGCCAATTGGGTGGATGTGAGTATGAAGCGTGAATGTGGGTTGCAGTGGGGAACTTTTACATAGGCAGTTTAGAATGCAACTTTTCCCATCTAATAGAGTTTTCTTTTGCTTAGAAATGATTCTATAGCACTCAGAAAATCACGTATAAGAAGGAAAAAACATTGTTTTTTAAAACAAAAGAATATATTTTGATCATGTGTCAGGAGGATCGTAGCCTATATTTTTTTTAGATTTTATTTTTCAAAAATTATTGTGAGCTTTGCATCATTCGACGTAATTTACTATACTAATTGGTAATAACACAGTAAGTTTTCTTCAAAATGTAATATGGATATTTGAAAAGTTAAATTTCTGACTAAAAACTTAGTATTTTTGAGAAGCCTTTAAAATCGTAGAACATTACAGATAAGAGCTGGTAGAGAATTTTCAATGAGTTTTCTAGGGTTATTGGGATTAAACTTACAACGAATTTACTTGAGTTCGAAAAACGAATTAACCTTATAGACAAACAATGAGATTTAGATTCACTTGTTGAACAATATTGGAATGATATTATAAACAATTCTATGATAGAATAGTTTCATTTGTCTTTGACTCATGAGTCCAAAAGAGACAAATAAATCTTGCTGAACAGTATTATTTATTGAAATAGTATCTGATTGATATTCAGGGAAGGAATTCTATTCTTTGGTATTTTTTTTTCAGTAATCATTAATTACAACATGGCATTCGAGAAAATTTTCGAACAATAATAGAAACATAACAATTTGGATAGAGTGGAAAAAATTGATTCTCGTCTTCCATATTACTTAAAGGACCATTGATTGATGATGATGTTTGAATTAATGCCAAAAACAAAAATGATGCCAAATATAATAACATATATGTAAGGACAGGTGATTCGAAAATGACAATATGAGAATCATAGAGAAGCCAAATACCACGCCAAAGAAAGAGACATGAAAAAAAAGCCAATAGATGACGTATATTACGATAGAGTTGAGGGAAATTAATTGAAACAAAAGTCCAAAATTCAAATTTCAAATTTAAATATTCAAGATAATTTTGAAAATACATTAAAGGAAAATATAGAACATAACCAACTAATAAACAAATCCAAGCTGATTTATCCGCATCCTTTGGATATAGGCATTCATCAAGAAAATGATAAAAGCCACGCCATGTCATTATTGCTATATTTGAAATTATTACTTCATACAAAACATAATTTATCAAATTTATTTTCCATGGATTCATCTTGAAAAAACAACAAGATTTGGCTAGTTGATTTGTAAAATAATAAAAAAATAAAAAAAACTACATACTTGTCGCGTGAGTAATGGACAACCGAATTGTATACAATGTTCAATGTGATCATAACTAACAAGAAATGGTGCACAAACAAGATCAGATAAATGTCCAATCAATACAATCAATGCAAATAGCGATGTAAAAGAAAGAACTAACTCAAAATACCATTCATGAGGTGTATATTGATCCCAGACTGTCCATAACATTTCCCATTGAACTATGTATATTGATGCTAATACAAGAATGTGCAATTTCAAGAGAACTAATTGAAGAAAACAATTTCGTTTCTTCAAAAATTCATACAAGAAATCTTGACCGAGATAGAGAAGTAGAAGAAAAATTTGAACGATCAAATACGGAATGAGCAAAGTACGTATCGAATAATGAGTTAAGTCTTCATCAGATATTGTATGGTGTTCTTGTCTTAATGAATGTTGATTGATTGCTTTCAATAGAGTCCAAACAAGATTCCATCCACATTGCCAAAAAAGAACAAGAACTGGAAGTAGAAACAAACCAATAATTATCGGTTCCACGATAAATAAGATTTGACGATGACGTCTATCACGTTTCCTTCCAAGAGAATTCAAATTAATCAAACTTGATATTCCATTTTCTTCGTCTTCTGTCAAATGATTTCCTTCCGAAATGACTGATAATCGCCGCTCATTGATAGGTCCATCATAACCGTTGTCAGTTCTTGAAAAACACCGTTGTCGGAATTCAGCACTTGACGGTGGAACACGTTCTTGTCTACGGTATTCATCACCATATGGCAAAAAATTCTGAGAAGTAGTCGAAAATCGACGTGGAGTATTGACCGACGTACTTAGACGATGGTCTAAATCTTGTCCTTCTTCAATGAGAAAAACCGGCATAGACATCGTATGCTGACCAAAATTTGTTCCTTGTATATGTTCATTATTGTCACTCATGTTGTCTTCACCTTATTCTAAAACAATCTTCATCTACACGAACAAAGATTGTGTTTATCACCAGTTGATGATATCAAGTTTCCTTTTCTTTCATAATATTTCTTATCATAAATCTTTTACATTATATACACAAAAGCATGCTGTGTTTTGTCGACACCCTCTCTATTATCGTCCATGTCACGTTACTATCTTGGATTGGAGAGTTTGCTCCGAAATTGCGTCGCTCGAATATAACAGAGTTTGGCCCACCTCTCGTTCATATCGCCTTCTTTGTCGAAAATTTTGGCAATGTCGTATAGTTACACTGCAAAAGTGCCACTTTTTTCGTAAGTTTTCCCTTCCTTCTACGTGGTTGGCACTATCACCGAGCAACTCGTTACTAGTAGCAACTGAAAAGAATATTGAGATATTTTCACTATACATAACATCACGAGTCGATTGAGGTCCATATTTGAACACTTGAAATTCAATAAGATATTTTCATTAATTTCTGTACATAATTTGTTTGACTTCGAAGGCCTGAGTTTTATGCAGTTAAGAAATAAACGGCATCCCTGCAAGATATGATATGAACAGGAAGCTCAGTCTGTGATAAATTTTATATACTTGTAAAAACAAATATTTTTCTTCATTCTGTTATTCATCGATTTTGTCAGATCGAATCCTAAAAGTAGTGAAAGACTACTTGAAAAACTAACATATTTGAATGAATGGTATCGATTACAATCAGCGATTTTACCCTGTTTTGTAGGTGTGGATGAGAATATGGCCATGTATATAATCTCTTCATCATTAGATCCACACACACTTGCATCCATATTGTTTTTCTTTAGTTTTCGAAATATTAGAAGACTGTGATGACTTTTGAAAGTAGTATTTGTTAATATTCTTATGATTATGAGCTATAAATAATTCTTTGTCATTAGTATGAAGATGAGAAAGAATTTCTGAACAAAGAGCAAGATTAAATATTGAATTGATTAAAATCTTGATGATGAACGACCAAGTGAACACGATTGAGGATGTAGTTATTCTCTGCACGCATAATCACACTCTTATCTTCTAGTGTCCACTCATCCACAGACGCAAAACCAGAAAGTTGAATTCAACTATTCAACTATTTCAAACAGCCGAACACATGCGATCACACATACACGGAATAAAATCTTAATGTTAATTCCTCTTCTCGCCGTTTATAATTTATGCTAATTGGCGAAATTATCGAGAATCACATACACGAGCAGCATCGTACTGGATGTCGATACCGCGAAAGAACTGAACGAAAGGGTAATATACGGAAAAATAGCTATACACATCACCACAGATGGTGTTTGTGTCACGAAAGGACGATTAATGGAATAGTTAAATATATGTAAAGGCTTTAAATAATAGTATTCAACATTCACGTTTAACACTACTGAAATAAGAAAGATGATAAGAATCGATACATAGAGAGAAACTAGAATATAAGAAATAAATTTTCATTTATATTTAACATCTTAGAATCTGTATCAATAAAAAAAATTAATGGTTTATACAGTGAGCTGGCTTCTTTACTCGCGTGAAGTTCGAGTGACACTCTCGTTTTTATTGTAAGTTCACCAGTGTTGCTGTGTTTCGTCAACAGAGAAAAACCAATTATAATGATTCATATTTTTAATCGTAGGAAGATTAAAAGATAATCCTTGTCATCGATCTCGAATAGAACCAAATCTTACTTAAAAAAGTAAGCGAAATCAATCAATCATTCAAAAAATGCATCGAACAAATGGATTAACACGAGAGGAGCTGATAGAAAAATAACACTTGGTGCTTTTATCACAAATAAAAGTTTGTAATTAAGTCACTGTCGGAATATGGCAAAGAGCAGTGCTCTTATCATCCTCTGACAATGGAAATATTGTGTAGTGTAAAGAATGATATAGCACTGCACGGGAGTCTTCGATTCCTCACTCTGTTTTTAATGATCATGCCTTTTCAAAATAGCGAGGCAAGCACAAAACGATGTGACAATTAATGTATGGTGGTGGGAGGGGGGGGGGGGGAGCAGTTAAGAACCAATTACTTTTGCGGAGTAATGTACGCACATGATGCGTCAACAGCAATATTTTTTTATTTCAGTATTGATGAGAATACTTGCATTTGTGCACACATATCTCGTTGAATAAAACCTTTGCACGATGAAAGTGAAAAGCAGTCCTAAGAATGATTACCTTTCTAGTATGTCTTGTTGTTTTGTTCTCTCTGAGACTCTCAACCGCTGAAGAAAAATGCGTTATCGGATACCACTGCATTCATGATACCACGATCGATGTTGAGTGTGATCCGGTAATGGGCCACTCAGCTGTGAATCAAAAAGGATATTCAACTTGTATTCCAGATCGGAGGGCTAAAAATGTCTTTGGTCGTGATGATCGAGTTCAAATCACTTCGACAGAATATCCATGGCGTGCAATTGGATACTTAAATACTGCATGTACTGGAACGTTGGTAGGACGAGATCTAGTCTTAACTGCCGCACACTGTGTGATCAATCCAAAAACCTACACCCTGAACAACATAAATACTTTCTATCCGAACAGAATCAATGGGGATGCAGCTAACTCGTCTTCAGTCAGCTATGTATGGTGGGGTACAACAGATCCAGATACCTACCGTGAACGTGATTGGGCCTTGTTACGTTTGTCCAAACCACTTGGGGATCATTACGGCTACCTCGAGATCAAGACACTGAATGATAGTTCGATGCTAGCTGCACAGGCTACATTGGTTGGTTATTCGACGAATTTTCAAAATGCACAGACAGCAGGAGCACATATAGGATGCCGTATAACGAAAAAAACTAATAATTTCTATTTGCACAACTGTGATATGGGTCGTGGAGCCAGTGGTGGTCCGATTTTTGCGTGGTGGGATAACACACCGTATATCTATGCGGTGAATGTGGCTGAGTACAGAAACGGTGGTTCCGTAAGTTTATGGCTGACAGATTATGTAGAAAGCAATGCTAATATTGCCGTATGGTCATCAGAACTTTACAACAAAATAATTGAACTTAGAAATTCTTAGAATTTTTCTGTAAGAAACTAGAATATACAACAAAAAAAGAATATTTTGACAGCCAGACACTGACGGGACAAGAAAATAAATTGTCTTTTTTGTGTCTGAGTGTGATTTTTCCAACGGATTCATGGATCGATGAAAACAAGTTGAATACCCTAACATGCAGACTAAGTTTGATGCTATACCAGTAATAAGTCTTGAGAACTATCCTCTTTCACATTCATAGCAGACGCTAACATCCACCCTTTCATCTCCACATTCTACCATCCAACATATTTAGATATTCCAATAGTACTCCGTATGTGTTTTTTTTCTGGCACGATCAGCGAGCGAGATACCGTATATACACCTTTCTGTGGCACCCTCAACAATAGAACTACTTTACGTGTATGTTTGCTTGAATGTCTGAATACTCGAATATTAAGTGTTCCGGCATTAAATCATTGAAACTAACTTTCCTGTTGAACATGTATAGTTGTTCGATATGTTTTTCACATGCTTGATGTTGAGCATTACTCTCTATAAGCTGATAGTAAAGTCGTTTAAATGCTTTCAAAAGTTCAGCTGAGAAAGTATTTGAAAGCGCAGGAAGTTTTAGAGTGGTGACGAAAGTCTTCTCTTTGTCTCAATAGCCATGCCGATATCCAATGCATTATCGTAAGAGGATGGTTTTGGTCTCGATTCATTGGTAAATAATCATGAACAAAATGACGGATCCAATTATCATGAAGAGAATAGCCATTGAATGAGAACTACAGGTTTTCAATTATGATAGAGTTCGATCCAATCATTGACGAAGACTCACGATCACATTTACATTGCGCTAATTAATTACCATTCGACACCAAGGAATTCGTCTTAAACACATCAGATAAATGTTGACAAGTAATAAACATTAGTATTGTTGAAAAACAATCAACATTTCAATACTTTGTTCCTTGTCCATCAGAATAAGATCTGATGATCGAAAAAGACAAGTGACATTTGAATCAAATGAGAAGCAAAGCTTTTTTTTCGATGTTTCTGGTTCAAAAGATTTAATTGTAGATCTATTAAAAGCCAAAAAGCAGACTGATCAAATATATACTATAATTCAATGAATAGAAAAGCGTCTCATGACAATTTGCCAAGTACAGCATCGCTCGAATATTCACTGAGAACAATCATGATGACGAAGGCTAAAGGCGACTAGTCAATCGTACATCAAACGACACAAATAATTTCGATCGATACCAAAAATATTCGAATTCTTTAGATAACAATGATGAAACTAAGTTGTCATAAACGAACTACATGGAGTTTTTGAAAGCCTCAGCTGAAATAAAAACACGACTGAGAGTTATGTTCGATATTCATCAATTAAAAGCTATTGACATCAATATAACTTGGTAATATTCAACCGACTACTATCAAACTATTTCAGCGACCTCGAGATCATGACAAATCACACTAGCTACTGAGGCTCTATGGCACTTGACAATCGTTGTTTATATTTATCTCACAGACTCGCTGTCGACTATTTAGCATAACTTGTCTGTCTGTATTGATCAAAATCTCTTAAAAGATGATCATCAATCATTTTCAGATAACTCTATTGAACGCAGCAATTAAGTTTCGATGAACGATATTATAACTATCAATACAACGAAATTCGATGCTCATTGACTTTGTCAAATAACATCACGATAGAAACAAAAAGATTTCTATTGTTTCATTTCCGGCAATTATCACATGAATGAATCTTTCATTGTTCATAATCGTTATAATGACTAGTAGATCGATTATTGTAATTCGGCGATCCGAATTACTTAGTCATTTATTATCTTTCAGCTAATTTTCTTATAGAATATGACAATCGAGAATTTCTTTTTACTTTGAAATCAAGACAGGAATAGAACACAGAGCACAAACAAATTTGTCACGTCATTGGAAAGATTTCATTTTCGTTCGAATAAAACTTTATAGTGATGCATATGGGGTGTAGATGACGAGAATAATCAATCTTACTTGCATCCACTCATTCAGTCTGGATTTTCATATTATCAATTTTGTCTCTCAGATAACACTATCTATTAAAACGGAATTTATAATAGTAGACTCTTATAAAAGAAAGATATTAAATTCTAAAAGCAATATTGGTTTTACAATAAACAAAGCTTTTAAAAGTGTTTTTTGGCTACATTTGAATTTGCAATCAGTTCCTTAATATAACTCATTTTATTATGCAACAATTGTCTTCGAGTTTCCAATATTTCCCATTCTTGCATATATTTCATGTATTTAGCAGTGTTTTTGATAATCTTATCCATTTCAATCCATAATATATGTTTCTGGTCTTCTAAACATTTCATTGACATTTTTATAAATTGATAAGCTTTATTATACTGATGCAATTCAACTGCTAAATCAGCTAGTTTTTCTTGCAATTGACTATGTTTTATATCTACATAATCTTGAACATTAATATCACTGCATTTACGATAGATTGCTAGTACCAATCTTAAATGCATACGAGCTTTTGCATGTTGTCGTATAGCCATATATTTATCAGCTAATTCAATATGACTTCGTGCTAGATCATATTGACTAATACATCTCATGTTTTCACGAAACATTTCAACGTATATAAAGTGCTTGTGAATTAATTTATGTTTAATTAATTCATATTTAATAATTGATGAATAATCACAATTCTTCTGTTGAGTATAAATGTCCACCATTTCATTAATAATATTACAAATATTCAGATAGAAGCCAAATTCAAACGGTTGCTCAAGAAAGATATTTAGAGCATTTTCATAGTTGGCTAAACTTTCATCATATGCATGTTGAATTTTTTTTAGATTAGCTAATTGTTGTAATGTATGTCCAAGTTTCACTTTATCATCGATATAATAGTGTAACATATTTGCAATACTCAATTCTTCATATCTGTATATCATCTCCATATTTGTAGAATCATAACCAGTCAATTGTATTCGATGTTTTTCCAAGTATGATAATTTCTCATATACTTTCATACGTTCGTAATCGGTTGTGGCTTTATTCAGTGCAATTTTGAAATATTGAATAGCTTCTAAATATTCTTTTTCAGCTAGACTATGATCTTTAATATCATATTGGTAACATAAAGCAAGAGTTTGATGTATAAGACCAATATCAATGAAACAGTTTAATTCTTCATCATCAATGAATTTGTACCAAATAGTGAGAGCTTCACTATAGTTAGATAATGCAGCAGTGTAATTTTTTTCTTTCATATTTTCAGATGCTAACCAACACTTTTGTAGTGCTAAAATCCATTCTTTTTCTGATGGATAAAGAATAATTAATTCCTCAAATATAACATTTATGTTTTCAATTGACATCTCATTTGTAATACTCTGCAATAGACTTGCACATTGTTTTAGCATTTTTCGTTGACTATTATATATAAAAATTTTGTCATCCTTCATATAATAATCATAATTTAATTTTAATTGTATCGTATATATCTGTTCAGTCTCATCGTAAAGTACATTTGTTTTTTCAAATCGAGTACCAAATGTAAATAGAAGTTCTTTCTCTTCGAATATACTCAGTTGCGATGCATCACCATATGGTCGTGATTTTATGCGAGTATCAACTTCTATTTCAAAGAAAACCCTCTGTAGTTCGTTGTCTGATTGTAATGACGGTGAACCGAGAAAGTGCAGAGCTATGTTACTATCGTAACTTGTTGACAAAAAACTGTTGTTGATAATCCATGATGTACCATTACGATCTGCTAACTGTTGAATTCCTTCAATGACATCAATTGTCCACGATAAAATTTAACGATTGAACTATTTGTATTATTATCTCCACTATGTGTTAATTTAAACTTGTCGTGTTCTCTTTTCAACTGTTCATAAATGTCTTTCACTAGAAAGCCAAAAAGAAAGAGTGCTTTAATATTGTGCTGACGTAAAACTTTGTTAATAAGACGATAGACAAATGTATCTTGTGCATACCATTGAATTGCATTTTCTGACGTATAATTTGTTGCAAAACTTTTCACTGCCTTAAGATAACTGTTATTTTCTACGTAATACTCTTCCAAAGATGTAGCAAGTCGTTTTAAACAATCTTTTGGGTATTGTAGATAGCAGAGAAAATCGAGAAATTCAATGCGTGCAGACCATAGTGAGTCATCCATCGATGTCTCTTGTTGTTCTGATGAGCGTAAACTACTAAGATCCAGATTTTTTTCATGTTTTGACGCTTGCTGTATACTTTTGGTTAAATCCGTGAGTAGGTATTCAAAGTTGGTGTGAGTCAGTTTCATCTAAATAGTATGCAGACAACACAGTTTTTTCATGTACATTTATCTTGTTTTTCTTTTTTTTTGTATATGTTGGAATGCTCGTTTTTCGATTCCTTTTTCTGCAAGCTTTGTGAAGAAAATAGTCAATTTTTTTTATATTTGTCGCAGTAAGAGTGAGTGCCTATTGACAGACGCAAAACTACTTACTGCATCGGATGTTTAGAAACGCTCTAAAAAACGTAACATTATTTTTGCTGTGGTAGTTTTGAAAAAAAACTACTTTTTTATTAATAAAAGTTTCACTTACATTTGATTCAGTTCTTCGTGACTGATCGTTTGCGCTTTGATGACAAATGTGAATTGACCAAATATGTTTCATATGATATATTCGAGGAAGAAATGACTCTTCAAATTGATCGGAGATGACTAGAATAGTTGTTGTGTCTTGTGTTTTCTTTAAGTAGTTTTCGCATTCGTCAGAATTATCAAATAATTGTATATCATCAACAAATTGTTGCAAAATTTCCAATGAAAAATTGATAATGTTGTGCTTCATATTAGCATGAACCAGCCAAACCAATCGATTTGATGCGAAATCTAAGTCTCGATGTCGGTCACTTCTTTCAATTCGTCTTGTGCGGTTGTCGAATATTGTTGAAAATCGTTCATCAGTCATACATATTTCGGATACTGACGGTGATAGAACTTTCGTCTGTGTAGACATATGAGTTTTAGAGAACGGTTTTATTAATAGCTATAGAATTGAAAGAAACGCTTAGATAATTAAAGTGATACTCTTATTTTAATATCCTAAAAATATATTTTTTGTTTTTCAATATATAAACTGTTTTTCAAAGATAATATAAGGTCGCGATAATTCAAAATTCGAGCAGTTTCAATTTTTTTGATTTTTATACATGATTAGATGCAACTCAACGAGCTAAATCCGAATATGTATACTATATCCAGAAAAAAAATTTTTTTGATGTCAAAAACCTGAAAATACTGCAAAAACTCAAGGTTCAGAAAATCTAGCATTTTGAGAGAAAAGTGCCTACAGCTCCTTTACAAAATTTGTTATAGCTTTAAAAGACTTTTTTTCTTAATCTACGTCAAAAACTGATTCTAAAAATGTAGTTTCTGATCATCCAGCTCCTGTGCGTATGCTTGACAGATGTCGATCATATCAATAGGTCGAAACAGCACTTTGTCCCAGGAAAAAGGCATCAAGTCATTTTTAAATAGAGATAGAGCTTTTATTTTACCGTCGTTTGATTCGCCACGTCGAGCTGATAAAAGTTAAGCATTTTTTTCCTTTAACTCACTTTCTTTATTGAGATATGACATTTACATTCATGATATCTCTAATCGACTAGTGAGTTCTGGAGGTCAAAAAAACATTTCAACTCAATGTTGGTTTTTTAGACTTTTTTTAGGTTAAAACCGATCAGGAATTCAATAGTGGTGGTTTTGAGATGTTTTAGAGTGACTTTAGAGACCTCAAAGTCATCTTCGGCTGCTGNTTGATCCTAATCAAGAATTGATCGCTATCGGTGCAACAAATATATTTGGACCATTTTTTGGTGCCTATCCAGCAACTGGTTCATTTTCTCGAACAGCCATTAAGTCCAAAGCAGGTGTACGAACACCAATGGCTGGTGTAGTTAGTCGTGCATTGATTATTCTAGGTATTTATGCTTTACCAGCAATGTTTTATTGGATTTCACAAGCTAGTCTAGCAGCAGTTATCATTCATGCTGTCGGTGATCTTATCGCTGGACCACAAACATTGAAACTTTTTTGGCAAGTAAGTCCAATAGAATTTTTCATCTTTTGGATTGGAGTTATTGTAACAATATTTTCTTCCATTGAAATCGGTATCTATACTACAGTCATTTCTTCTGGTGTTCTTCTACTTTTTCGTATTGCTAAAGCTCGTGGTCAATTTGTTGGCCGAGTTCAAATTGAACAAATTAAATTATCAGTCGATAAATATATTCGTTTAACAACTCGAAATATCTATGTATCACTTGATCATTCTGATGGATCAAATCCGACAGTTATTCCTATATCATCTAACAACGGTATCTTTATCTATAGATTGAATGAAAGTTTTCTCTATCCGAATGCCAATCACTATATGGAACTTATGATTGAACAAATTTTTCGTGAAACTAAACCAGGCAAAACTAATCTGTATGATTCACTTGGTGAACAACCGTGGAATTTGAAGACAAGTCGACATCCAGAAAGGGATCAACAGAAAGATGATCGACGTCCATGTTTACATGCCTTAATTTTAGATTTTAGTGGTGTTGCTCATTTAGATATAACTGGTCTGCAAAATCTTGTCGATGTTCGTCGACAATTAGATCATTATGCAGATAAAAAAGTCAATTGGCACTTTGTCGGCTTATCGCGTCCTTGGTTAAAACGGGCACTCATTTCTGCTGGATTCGGTTCATCTGAACAAGGACATACAATTTTTTCTGTAGCAAACCTACATGACAATATCGACGGTGATGAAAACAATGCAACTGTTGTACTTGTTCCCATTCTGGATAGTAATCGATCACTATTTCATACTGATCTTGATGAAGCATACGAAGCAGCTATGGCGAGTTTACCTCAGAAAGACAAATTTGTCGTTTTTGATAATGGCATGGTATAATCTAATTTCTTCTTTCATGCCTTCTTCGATCTATTGAACAAGATGTCATTGATAAAGACAATTGTATATACATTTATTTATTATTCAATAAATTCCTATTTGATGTATCTCAAAATTGGATCACATGATTCTTGCTAGCTAGAAGCATTTGAAAGCTCTTATACAGTCGATCTTTCTTATACGGAAAAGTTAACACTATTGGACTTTCTTTAGATTTTTGAATATGAGATAATTCATGAATCTATTGAAATGAAAAGTACATGGGAAAGTGTTGACTCATCAATTTGGTTTTCTTAACAACGATAAAGCAAGCATGAAATACTGTGGAATGAAATTTTCAGCCAACAGTCACTTCATCTGTGCGAGTTTAAAGACAACTAGCTCTCAAATTATTGTCGAACGTTGAAAGTATGGCTTTTAATTTCCATTCAATTCAAAGACTTTGATTGCATCAATTTATTTTTCATTCACAGTGACTTATGTAATTTGGATGCCTTTGTGCATTTAACTCCACGTCATCACTCAAGCTACCCTATATTTTGGGAGAAAAAGGCTTCTGAAAATTCCAATTTTTATCAAAAAAATTTTATGCTACGAAGGACTTTCTAGATGCAAATGAAGCAATATTTACTTCTTTCAGTCTATCCTAATTATAGTCGATGTATTATGTTTTAGCAAATATTTAATGTTGAATCAAGTATGCTTAGCTTGTAAACATTAATGTTCATCAGAACAAGAATTCGTGAAAATGAACTGATGTTCTGTTCATTATCATCGATTATCAATAATTAGAATATATTTACAGTGACATATGAAATCTCTTAATTAGATTATTATTTAATTACATAGCTATTTTGAAATAAAGATGCTTTTCAAGATATATTTGTAAAACTTACATTTGTAGAAAAAAAAATCAGCGTCTGCTAGTTTTAATCAAGAAAGACATTTTGTAAATTGTTTTTTTCTCTGCATAGAAAGTCTGTTTTTTTTTATTCGTACTTACAGATAGTAAGGATGCAAGATAGTGATAGATTCGTGCTTTGTGAAGAACTTGAACACACCTAAATAATTAAAATATCAACGATGATGTGACTTAAATTTGTTTTTCGCTAAACGTACTTAATAGAGAGAAATATTTATTTGAATGAAATTTCTATATTTTATAGTAATTTTTGACCAAAGACATTTGACTAAATCTAGATATTTAACTTTTCAAATTTCAAAAGTATTCTATAAAAGATAATTTATATTAACATCCACTAACACATGTTTCAATTAAAATTGAGATACCGTTATTTTAAAATAAAATAGTTAATTACAATTTCTTTTGATTAACTGCTGCTGTAAAAAAGATTCGTTTTATTGTATAAGAGAAAAAAGTTTCTATTAATCGAGATATATGCTTATCGAATTATGCAAAACTTTAGAAATCATTGAGTATGAAAAAACTATTTTGTTACAATTGGATAATTGAATGTTACCGACTAAAAGAAATATTTATATTTTATTTTTACAATAAAACTACATTAAAAACAAGTTAATGATATAAAGATGATTAAAATGTATACTATAAAGAACACATATTATAAGTGAATACTTATTGATGTTTCTCTCTTCTTATTGAGTAAAAATGTTAGCAGAGATGAACACAATCATTGACATTGAAAAATCCAATAAAAAACTGTCAAGGTAATGGACAAGCTATATCCATACATGTTATAATTAACCGGCGCAATGCAAATTGAATTTGTTGGTGTACTCTTCGATACGATACCGCAAGAAAAACCACTGTGATTATCCAATCGTTCAATTTTAAAATGAAATTGATGTTTTCCCAATGAATATTCCTCTCTACAACGCACTGCAGCATGGCTATTTGTTGAAACATGCACTGCAACCTTTCCACCTTTAGTAATCTGGATATCGCCCACGATTCGATGAAAAATGTCAATTGATGCATCATTGATAAAAAAAACTCTGAAATCAATGCACTGCTATTATTGTCTTCACTGAAATCAATCGTTTGAAATGCATTCAAGTCAATTTTTTAATTTGTCAAGTTTTTCCGCCCATTCTTTCAAATCTGTTTCAACATAATCATCTTCCTTATGAGCATCGCTTAATTTTTTTTGTGGGAAATGCTAAATTATGTATTACTTGTGCTCTGTACATGTCAATAATAGTTATAACATGTTTACAAGTATCATCAGCTGCTCAATGAACTTTATCGATTGATTCTTGTTCCCATTCATTGATCTTTTGCATTAGAAGATGACAATTTGATTGTGCTCCTTGTTCAGCAATTGTAGATGTGGGGTGTGGGCAGGATGGATGTGGGTGAGGGTGTGGATGTACAGAAAGTCCACACCAGCACTGCTTTTAGTGTCGTGATCAACAGTAATATATGCTAGATGTCGATATTGAAAGAAACAAATGGAGATTTTTATGCGTGAAGTTTTCTGAAACACGATTGTTAGTGAATGTTGAAGAACATAGCAAGAAAAAAGAGTGCTTCTTACTGTCACAGCTTGCCAATTGTCCATGGCAGACATGCCAACATGCTATTTTACTCTTTTACTTCGACGTTTGTGTTTTGAATGTTCTAAAGTTAAATGAGTTTGAAATTCTGACGTCTAAAAAAATAAGTTTTTCTTTCTCATATTGTGTCAGTTTCGCATCCATCAAAAATCATGATAAATACTCATACATGATTCTTTCTTGACTTTGGCACTGATTATAATTAATATAGACAGAATCTTTATGCATAATTCAAGCGAAACAATCGTGTTTTAGATTTCCATCATATATTAGATTACACTGAAAGCTTTTGTATTATTTTGTGAAGCATAATTGTTGATTAAAGGAATATATAGCTAGAAAAGTAAATCATTCGTTGGTACTAGGTATAAATCGAGAGGATCATTGAAAGGTATGGGAATAGGTGGAGAGAGCTGTTCTTTTTCTTGCTTTGATATTATTGAGTTAAAAGTTTCTTTTTTTATACTTCGAATAAATCTTGAATCGGAAGTTTCAGAAATGCTCAACTTTTTAGTTTTGTCAGATATGTATTTTCATAATCTAATCCACATGTCAAAACGCATTAAATTCAATCGTCATTTAATCCGAATACGACATGAATCGGTCTATGATAAACTATATTTGTGGTCTTATACAGATAAATCAAATTTTTTTAAGAAGGCTTACTTGAGTGCGAAATCTATTAGATATATTGTTTAATATGATAACGCTACGGACACATCGTGAAAAGAAGAAAATTTTACTCCTTCATAAGTCAAAAGCTCCTTCAGTTAACCAGCAATATTTCTTCTATTAGAAATGTTTTATTTGAAACGTACCCAATTTCAATCAATTGTCTACAGTTCGTTTGATGATTTTCAGTTTGAAAAGAATAAGCAAAAAAACAATGCAGAACAATTTTTGTAGAATAGATTTTGTGAAGTCACTGGTTACTTTGTAATACAAAGTAGTTATTGAAATATTGAAAAAGTAACGAGATTTAGTAAAGATATTGAATGAAAGAAAAAAACAAAACTTCGAATGGTATGAAGCTTGATTCTATTCTATTCGAACTTCAATCCAAATTATACCTTAATTTAATTAAAAAAAAAAAAGTTTTGATCGAAAAAGCATTGAAATACACTTGATAAATCATGATTTTTTGATAAGTCAAAATCGTCTTTGAAAACTTTCATGCAGCATATGCAAATGATCAACAAACGTGTCAGAAAATTCAAAACTAAATTCAAATTTTTGTTTTGACAAATTGTGGTAGCGTATCTTTCCAATAAAAACCATTGACCCATTGTTTATTTGAGTCTTTTGCTTTAAGATAAACTAACAATGAAAGTTACTTGCGAGAGATCATGCATGTATCCAGTTGTTCAATTGACAAATAAGTAATTAAAGGCGAAAGCTCCAGTGAACATCCTGAACAATGCAAATAATTAATATTGACTGTTCCAAGTTTAGGCACTTGTACAAATGATGTATCATAACATTGACCAACTGTTAAATATTCGATATTCAAATTTCTATTTAATCTTATGACATCTATATTTGGTAAATGAACGCGACGAATTGAAGGAAGATTCATAAATAAATAGAGATGATCAATTATTTGTTCGTTATGATTTGAACAAATAGTTAAGATATTCTTTTTTCAAAGCACATGCTTTGATTTACTGCTTCTTTTCGTCGATTTGATTCAATAATTGATATTGTCAAGAGATTTACTAAAAAATTAATTGCAATTAACATGTCTATCAATAAAGAATCTTCTGTTTCAATAAAAGTCAAAGATTTAAGTTGAATTAAATTATTAATTCTTATCATTGAAAAAATCTTGCTGATTTTCCTAGCAGTTGCTGTATTATTAGACAAACTCAATGAAATAAATTTTTTCGGAATCGATTTTAAATTGATCTTTTGTGTATGCATCGGAGGGTGGGTGTGTGCTGTGAAGTAAACATTTACACCCATACGCTAAAAGATCTTGGGTCTTCTAATGTGTCGGGGACTTTAGCGTTTCCATGAAAGTGTGTAGGTGTGGATATGAAGTGCTAGTGTAAGCGAGGTTATCATTCACTAATAATGATACTCATCTATACTGACAGTAACATCCAGACCCTAACATCTGACGAAAATATATGAACTATACGATTATTGCAGTTCTGCAGAACTAAATAAACGATGAGGAAGAAACTTTTCGCAAAATCGGTCGTAGAAAACAGTTTTCATGCGATTAGGAACAACAGCGGTAACGTGTTTCACATTTTAATTCTTTAGAGATTACCCTAACAACTATTTTTCTTCGTGTAACGTGCGTAGTGGATTAGTTTATGATGAATAAAATAGAACAAAATACAACAACAAAAAATAAAATGACAACGATTTCTTGCTTTAAATGATTGCAGAATTTGAACTGCTCAAGTTTTTTCCACAGCCGATATCTTTCCATTCGGGTATTCCATACAGTACTA